CCATCAGCAGTTTACGTTTATGTATTTGTCACATGTCGTAAAAAAATGGATTGGCCAGAAGTATATAACAAAGCTATTTCCAAATGCGTTATTGTTCTTTTTGTGTGAAACAAATCACATTCTACAGTTTATATTTATTTATTTCATCTGACCTTATTTCCTATAAAACGTGTGTTCTTTGTTGGTATACGAAAACTTTTAACATCTTGCTTTATCTTTCATAGCAAATATAAAGGTGATTGTTACCAGTAACACTAGTAATGATTAGCTTTTGTACACACGCGAAGGTCAGATTTTACCAATAATATCATTATTGTAGGGATGTTTCAGATTGATTACAAAAACAGTGGAATATGTGCTGAATATGCAAACTAGGTGTAACATTATGTAAAGTACAAGTCAAAGTTGATTCATCCTGGATTACAAGGTGGCTGTGATAATGTAAAATGAGATTTTGATGAATGTCCGTACATCGGAAAAGGTTCTAGGTGATATTTTTGTGCAACTCAAGCATGTAAATACTGACGAAATAAGAAATTAGGAAAGAAATATGATCATATCTGAAGTAGTTAAGCATACAGTAACGTACTCTGGAAGCCGTAAAAGTATTCTGACAGACAGTTCTCTGTCAATTGCTCATACAACTAATACCAAAAGTATTTAGGTACGATGCATGAGAGAATCTCATAGCCTATGAGGCTGTAGTCAATAGTGAAGATTTTATGAGTTTCACGCGATACTCCCCATAAGCTGTAAATGCGAATGAAATAATTCTTATATTTGTGCTTCGATTTTGTTTCCAAAGTTGTTGAAATCCAGTGTGACAGGCCCAGTCCATTGGGAAAAGGGAAGCAATCCTCCTGCGGCTTCAGTCTTTCATAATACCTGTCAAATTCCTGTCCAATTATGGAAAAGATCTTGTGATACATTACCCTGAGGAAAGTGATTATTCGTTCCCAGGAAAATATATCTTTTTTGCGTCGCTACATATTTTTCATTGGTGTGGGATACTCTTGTACAATCAATTTTCAGCAAGATAACTGAGGCCAGTTTTGGCTGCTGAGAGTATTTGTGGTTGTTTGGCAATAGGTCTTATTTCAAGTGGGATGAATTTGTGGGTGCAGCAATGGACACCGTTTCCCTATGCAGACAAACATACAACGCACAGCACAGTTTAGCGGAATTAATTGCTCGTTGATTCAGCTGCGTTTCTCAGCTATGCATGAAAGACGCACTTTGTGACGCAGACAATGCAACAGACGACTGTCTATGTTAGAAGAAATACAAAAATCCCGTGATTGGTAAAAGGTTATCAAACGAATCAATTTTCAAGCTTTGGACTCCGTTCTTGCATATCCGAATGGTGCCAAAGTATTCAAAATCCCAAACAATTTATCATATCCTTGTATATATAGTGTAAATTATTCGCACTGCTGATGAGACCCAACCAGGTATAAAGAGCTGTTTAGTGCTTCCCAGCTCTTTAGTTTACTATTTATTTGCAATATAAACGACGAATTGCCCTATGCAAAGCGGATAGTGTTATGGATCGCTGAACTAATTAATTCATTTGTCTGGAAGGAGAAAGGAACTAGTAAAACTTTAGCAGTTCAGTTCAGGCTACCCCCAAAGTCATGGGAGACCTTTTGTGCACGATTTTTCACCAGTTTTGTCTTATATGCCAGAATTGAAAAATCGTGTAGCTATTTCTACAGAAGAAGAATAATGGAAAGTTAGATGTGTGAGTGCAGAGAAGCATAACACGTGATAACCATGAATCACATGCTATGGAAATGAACATCCAACAATATACTAGGAAACGTCCTAACCTAAGAATTACACTCATTTTTATCTTTAATCCATGTGATCGAGGAGCCAACCTTATTCATTGCAATCTTCTAGTGGGGATACTTAAAACGTCAACTGAAACCTTCGTCGCATTTAGGCGAGTAAAATGGAGCAACCTGACTTGTTTTTCCACCCCCCTAGATCAATGGGAAACAGATGCCGTCAGTCTGTCTTAAA